CCCCAAAACCCCAAAACCCCAAAACCCCAAAACCCCAAGGGATGTATATAATATTGAAAAAATGTCATTCAATTTGTCGATACATATCTCTGAAGGTTCTTATGGTAAAAGTACGGCCAACCTTTGAGTTTCAAATCCTTTCCTACCTTGGTATCCTGCTTTCGAGACTATTCCTAGTAAATTTAGGAGAGAAGATCAATGTAGTGGATATTCATACTTAAAGCTAACTTTCGGGAGATTCATAATTAATATATCGTTTGGTGCTTAGGATACTAAAATTTAGATACAGATTTTTAGGACTTACTAGTTTGGATCTTCACCTATAATTTCTCCGGAGAGCTCATATTTTAGAAGAAGGTCCTCAGAAGAAAAGAAAAAGTGAAACTCAAGCTCAAATTGAAGAGAGGCCAGCATTGCTGCATGTTTATCAGTTCGAAAAGGCCTTAATGAAGTATGACGATCCAAATTTTGCTAAGTTCATTCTTCAAGATCCGTCTGAGTAAGTTTTCTAGACCAAGATCGCCTGTTTTCCTCATAAATTTTAAGAAAATAGAGGTTTTAGCTGATTCTTGTTAGAAACTATTATAAAATGCTCTATTCCTTTGGGAACTTTTGGGAATTGGAACTAGTTTAGCTCCTGAGCTGATATAAAGTTGTCATGGCTTACAATAATTTCTTAGAAATTATTGAAACTTGGGATTAATGAGGAGGTATAGGACATCTTCTGAAGAAATCACTAGTCCGCATATTAGCTTCTGATCGACCCAGAATAATACAGGAGATAAGAGATTTATAACAGTGTTATCATTCAGGTACTGAAAGTTGACTAAGTAAGGAGATAGTATTTTCCAAAATTTTAGAACTTGACCATATTGCTTTATAGAGCAGCAAGAAAGGCTAACAGAGGCAATCAAGAATATTTCGAATTTGGGGATATTATTGATAATGATAAATGTAAGTTGATTCGATAATGAACTGAAATTATAGCCAACTCAGATACCAATTTAGTATATTTTGTTCTTACTTCGGAAATCCCTTGATTTGGGTTTCAAGAAAGCTGGCTGAGAGCTGTTTATGAACATTTGGAGAAAGATAGTCTGGATAAATACTTGTTTCCTAATTCCGATAAGTTTCCAAGAGAGTCAAAGATATCACAATCTCCTTATTGGTGACAATTTGAATGACCAGAGATGAAAGGATCTCTTACTTTTGAGAATTTCTTGGATCTCTTTGAATTTCTGGATAAGGAAGAGAAGCCAGATAAGCTAAAAGTAACTTTATTCAAAGCGAAATCTTCTCCTAATGGTGGAGGGTTGACTATCAACTCTAGAGAATCTCCTGCGTTAATTAGTCTTATGACTGTTGCTGAGAAGAATTTCAAAAACCAATTGCTTTATGTATCTTCCCAATTATCATCCTATCTGGATGAGTCTAACATCATCGATACATTTAAGAGAAATACCCGGAGTATGCCAATGAAATGAGAAAGCTTAGTAAGCCTAAATCTAAATTTCCCTCTTGTTCCTGACAACCATGACTATTGATCAATTTTTGAGCTTATTCCTTCAAATAAAATTGTCGATATTTTCTTCGGAATCTTACTTGAAGAAAGAATCTTGTTAGTAACGAAGAACATAAGCCAGATAACCAAGGCTATTGAGGCTATATTTGAACTACTATTTCCTTTCAGTCCTCTAGATTTCAAGGTGATATCAAACTTGCCTGCAGATAAGCATTTGTTTCTTGGAATGCCCTGCCCTTTTGTAATGTGATGCACCCCTGAAGTATTTATCAAGATCCAGTCTGTCTGTTTCAGAGATTATAAAGAAGAGTTGATGATTATAGACCTGGATAATATGCTAATGAGTTGGGACAGACAAGTTGACTATCCTCAACCACATACTCAGTATTTTTACAATACTCTAAAGATTTTATCCCAAAAGATGATAAACCCTATTACAAAGAAGAACAAATGTGACGATTTGGTGAATAATGACGAGGAAATGCTGGAAATTTTGAAGAAGTACTTTTCAAACAATCTCCAGATCAAGCAGACCTTTATCAACTGAATACTGATGGTTCTTAACAACTTCTTGTCGTTTGAAAACTTCGAATTTACCGAGAAGAATCAGAAGATAAAAGAGTTAGTATTTGACAGTAATGGGTACCTGAGCTCTATAAATCCTAAATTCAGGCCTTTCTACAAGAGGCTGTTCCAGACTCAGATGTTCAATACTTTCCTGAAGGATAAATAAGGAAGGGTCCTTCATCAGATCAAATGAGTTCATGAAATACTACAACATTTGTTTCAAATAGAACTAAGGTGCACAAAAAGGACAGGGATAGCCTCGATTTAATGAAGTCATGATCAGAGAACTTCACTGAAGTGCTAGTGAACAAATAAATACTCAGGAGATGAATTTATTGAGGGTAAGCAATTTCTCGTTAAAATTTTAGATGATCAACACCATGTCATACAGTTAAATAAGCTAAAGTTTAAACAGAATAATCAGATAAAGAGACTTCTGGAAGCAATTGAAAGCTTATATAAAGAATCAGGAGAACTTCATGATTGCACCCGCACACCTAGCTCAAATAAGAGTAGCTTGTTGAGCTCAAAATTTCTTTCTGATGGATCAATGATTAACAACAGAAATTTTCAAAGACAAAGTGTGGTGACAATACTGAACGAAAAGCCTCACTTTGTTAAGTTAGTCAACAAGAAGTTATTCAAAAAGACTGCTTTAGATGAGTTTTTGAATTGTAGGAATACAGATTTTCGTGAGCAATCAAACTCCTGTATTAATCGAGAAGAGTTCAAGCTGAGCAAACTTGATCACAAATCTTTTGTTCACAGTCAGAAATGTCCTAAACATAATAATAAGAAGTTTGTCAACTGATTTTTATGAAAGAAGAGTAATAATAACTCCTTAATTTTAGATAAAAGGAAAGACTACAAATATCTGCCAGGAGGATCGTTAAAATCTAAGAAAAGAGCCTTACTAAATACAGGTATTTTAGAAGGTCATAATTTTTAGAGAAAAGTGCCAAGAAATCACTGAATATTGATGGATTCGTAACCAATGAAGAGAGAAAAAGCACAAAATATAAGAAAGATGATGGACTGTACAATAAAACTTCCTTGATCAAAGGGAGTGCATCAAAACAGGTTTCATCCTCAAGAGTTTATAAACCTTACAAAGGAAGTTTCTGTAAGACTCAAAATCCAACAGTCAAAGAGAGTAGTAGCAATGATGTTTTGAAAACTAAAAAAGATTACAAGACTCCTCTTAAGACAGCAAAAGTGTCTGTGAATTTAGTAAAGGGTGATAAAACACCTGCTAAAGATCCTTTTGTTGCATCTATAACTCTTGATGTCAAAACAGATGAAAAAAAGATTACTCAAATTGATAGATCTTCTCCTTCCATTTCTAATAACCAGTTATTGTCAAACAAGATGCTGCTTCATGCAAAGTCCTCTATAAAGCCTTCGCCTTTCCAAAGTGACCAGAGACACAAGTCGAAGGAGAAGATGAAGACAAGTCTTGAGATATATTCCAAAACTATCAGACATAGCAAAGGTAATATCAAGAGCTAATCTTTATAGTTGATAAATCAAGCAATAGCCATCAAAGAAACTGGAGTGATATCTATACTGATGAAAGCAAGCATGGCAATGTCTCAGCAACTGCTATCTCAGCTAGGTCTGATATGAAGAACAGCTTTGGACAAGACGATTTCTCGAGAAGGGCAGCTCCTTTCATGTTCAAAAATCATTACTCAGAAATTAAGAAGAGACTTAATGCAACAGGTATTTCCTTATATAATTTTAGATTCTCCTGATGCCCAGAATTTAAGAAGTGATACTAAATTCTCCAATTACCTGAAAAAGATGGATAATGGGCCTAAATTTGGACCAAAGAAAGGGACTATCAAAGTTCTAAACCACTCTGGAAACATTTCATCTAGGAAAGAAACTCAAGATATCCCTCAGATAGATACTAACTCTAGTGTTCAATACTCAACAGTTGAATTATTCACAGAGGAAGATTCCAATGATTTCATGTTCTCTCTTCCAATAGATGAATGCTTTGATTTGATCAACTATGAACCACAAAGTGGAATTGATCCATTAGCACAGGCAATACCTTCACTGAATACAAAAACAAAGCAGACCCCAAAGAAAGAGGAAAGTAAAACCCAGAAGAAAGTGATATCTTCTGAGAAAGATCTTTTATCTAAAAAGATGGCTTCTTACTCTTCATTCAATAAAAAGCATTCTAATCAAGTTGCCAGAGGAAAACTGAGCAACTACATTAATGCTAAAGTAAAAATTTCATGACATTTATAGAGCGATTCTAAGACTTTAAAAAGTAAAGATAAAACCAAGAGACTGATGGTCGATATCTCTCCAAAGAAAATAGTAGAAATGAAGCACTGTGGTTCATCAGACAGCAAAGCATTTGAAGCAGCATCTATTATTTGAAAGTAACACCATTCTGTAACTTCTAGAACTGATTCAGTCAAATCACTGAGAAGCAGTAAAAGATCTCCAAAATCAATTGTGAAGTCTAATATGTCAGTCAGCAAAAGTAGTATTGACAAGATAAAGAACATCGGACCATCTTTGAAAGGAAACGATTCCAGCTCCTTAATTGGGAACCTGCAGAAGAAGAGCAGCCTTGAGGATTCTCAAGTAAGCTCTAGGTGAAAGAAGAATAAGAGAGTAAGCAAACAGAACACTCTTATATCAGACTCAAGCAGACAGAAGGCAATACTTACCAATAATGTTAGCCAGGATATCGAATACCATAAATCATCGGGTCTTCTAAAAAAAAATAGGAGTAACTGCAGTCAAAAATTTGAGAAAATTACTGCTAGTGATAAGCAATTGAAGAAGGACAGCTCGAACTATAGCAAAACAAGCAATAAGAACAAGAAATATTATAGTACTATCAATAATAATTCAGAAAGAGGATATGAAGTGAGCACAAAGAAGCTCAGGAAGGAGATTGAAGAAGTTCACAAGAAGTTCCAAAAGAAGAATTACAGCAAGAATAAATCAACCGTTAATGTTAATTCTGGCAAGAAGCAGCATAAGAGCAACCTAAAGACTAAGATGCATGATCGCCCAGCCAGAATAAAGGCAGCACTTATTTGTATAGCAATCTTGTTAATGATTTAGTATCAAATAAGAAAGGGAAACAATCTAAAGTGCTAAAAATTTAATTCAAATAAGTCAATTGGAGAAAATGAATTATCAGACCATAGTGTAATGGGTAAGATTCTCAATCAAGCAATAGGTAAATCGACTTCCCATACATCAGAGTACTTAAAGAAGACAGTAAAAACTAACAAGAAGTTAGAAAACATTGCTGTAAGTAATTTTCTTATCTCTCTAGAACATGTTCACTGATAAAAATAAGAAAGAAAAAGTAAGTACTCTCCATCTTAAGGTCCAACAAACTTAGCGAAGTTCTAATTCTGTCTTTAGGAGAAGCTAAAAGGAGGAACTGAAGAGCGTGTTGAGACTAAGATTAAGAATTATAACTGAATGAAGATAAATAAAAAGGGATCGCCATAATAAACTTCGAATGTAATTGATTACTACATTTATGAAGACTTTCAACATTATAACAGAGGGCTGGGGTTTTGGGGTTTTGGGGTTTTGGGGTTTTGGGG